CTTCCCCTCCCCCCTGTGCCGGGGAAGGCCCTCGCTGGGGAACTGAGGAACCACAGGCTGCTGTGTGCTGGGGTAGGGGGACGGGACCTGCCCCATCACCCCGTGGGGACAAGTTCAGCTGAAGCCCAGATGTGTCACAGGGCTGTCAAACAGCTGGCTGGGCAGGGAAGGGATGTAAGGGGTGTTGAAGAAAGAGGGACCCAGTGGCCTGGCCACACGAGTCCCACCCCACCATCCAGCAAATGCCTCCTCGGGGGGATGACCTGCAGTGTCGAGAGCCACAGAGGAGGGGTGGGAGGGAAGGGGCTGACCAAAGACAAACCGGGGAAGCCCGTGGTTGTGTCCCCAGCTGCAGGGTGACCTCATCTCCCTCCTGCTGATGACTCAGGACCCTTCTGCTCCAGCTGACGGCTACTCCCTGCATGTCACATCCCCTTGGGTTTCCCAGGGGCTCTGACCCCTTTGTGTGGGAGGCAGCTGAGATGGGCAGGAGGGAGGTCCTGCTCCCTGATAGACGTGCCCATCTGGCTGCATCCCACCTGCGTCGTCTGCGTTTGGGCTGCAGCCAGAGATGCTGGTCCCCCAAGAGTCACGGGCTGAGAGCAGCTGGCAGGCAGGGCTGGGCAAAGCTGGGGTCACTCAGTGCACTGCAGCCAGCGCCAGGGCCATCCCCCGTGGCAGGACATGGCTAGCGGCCATGGCCAGGGTTAGGGGACTCACCTGGGGCTATGAGGTTGGCTGGGGTTTGGTCACATCAAGCTTGGCTAACTCAGTGCCTGGCTTGGCTGCCCACAGCCCATCACTGCCTTATGAAACCCCGCGGGGCTGGGGGTGCTGCCACCCCATGTCCTGTGTCCCGTGTCCCATGTCCTGGGGACTCAGTGGGTGCTGAGAGTCATGGGAGGGGATGTTAGGGCTGGGTCTCCACTCTGCTCACCCTCTCTTCATCTTCTTTCCAGCTCTGTGTCAAGTTCATCAAGGACACACTGAGCGTGGAGCAGGTCTGCGAGGCTCTGCAGGTGAGTGTGACCCCAGTGGGGTCACAGAGGGTTAAAAATAACCTGTCTGATTTTGGGGCAGGAGCTGGCCTAACCCTCCTGCTCTCAGCTGGATGGTGGGACAGAATTTCCTACCCACTCCTGCCCTACCAGCTCCTGGGCATATTGTACCAGGGCTGCAAGGGACACCGGGGCCACCACAGCCTGTCAGGGAAATAAATGTCCTCACGCTGCCCTGAGCAGAGCTGGCCTGAGGTCCCCAGTGCCAGGACCTTGCCATCACCTGCATGAAACTGGGAGGCACTGGGTTTCTGGCAGCACTCATGGTTATAAGGCCAGTCTCAAAAACACTGCTGAGAGTTGGGATGCCTAAAAATAGCTGTGGGGGTGGTGGTGTCCCAATGGCCCTGCCACGCTATTTGGTGGGACCAAGGCTGCTCCCCAGAGAAGGGGGATTTGTTCCATCTCCCACAGGCTGGAGCGATGCTCTCGGGGTGACATGCCGGCCCCAGAACACAGAAGCTCCCGCCAGATGTGGTGCCAGACCACCGCCGCGTAAACAGAGCTAAAACCGGCCCGGAGGAAACAAACAGAAAACCCCAAAACCCCAGAACAAAACAAACCTGAAGAAAACATCTTGCCTTCCCTCCCCGCTTGCGTCAATGCTGGTCCCCTGCTGTGGTGGAGGGGGAGGCGATGCTCGCCCTGCCTGTGCTGGTCCCGAGTACCCCCCACACAGGGGCTGCCACTGTAGGGGGACAGGGATGTGTCCTCCTGGTGCCCAGATGGGCAGTGCTGGCCCTGGGAGGAGCA